GGGAGAGGTTGAAGATGGTGGTGAGAACATCAGCCAGCTCGCTGGCACATGCCCTGAGAGCCCTCCCAAGGATGTTGTCCGATCCTGCCGCTTTGCGGGGGTTGATCTTCCACGGGATACTTTGCGTATCTGGTCTGGTGAGACAGTTAGTGAAGAGGGGGGGGAGGGGGTGGGGGGTTGGGTTGTCCAGATGTGTGTGTGCTTCCTCTCTGTGCTGTAGCTGGAGGTCTCAATGCGGGTGTAGAAGGTGTTGAGGTCACCCGGCAGGCTGTCTGTGGAGCTGATGATGCTGGTCCTATTGCCAATCCTGACAGTAACAAAGAAAAAGCTGGCATTCAAGGGTGGGACGCACAAACATGTTCGCCTCGGTGGGCGCCATGTTATGGTGGTCCTGTAGTCTGTGATGTGCTGCAGGCCTTGCCACATCGATCCGGAGTCAGCAGTAGAATAGAAGCCATTCAGCTTCTCTCTGTACTGCCTCTTGGCCGCTGTGATGGCTTTCCTCAGTTTGTACTTGGCAGCTTTGTACTCCATGTCATCGCCTGATCTGAATGCATGAGAGCGAGCACGCAGCATGTGGCGTACCTGACAGTTTATCCAGGGCTTCTGGTTGGGAAACCTCCTGACTTGTATGGTGGGCACAATGTTGTCAATACGGGTACTAATGTACCCGGTCACATACTCAGCATAATCCTGTACACTGACAGAAAAGTCCTCCGAGGTGGCCGCAGCCTTAAACACATCCTAGTCTGTCCAAGCAAAACGGTCCTGCAGGATGCCTTCAGTCTCTGGGGTCCAGAGTTTAATTTGTTTGGTGACAGGGTTTGTTTGTTGACAGGGTTTGTTTGTTTCAGTCTTTGTCTGTAGGCCTGATACCGGAACATAGAAATGTGGTCCGAGCGTCCAAGGTGGGGGCGGGGTGCAGTCCTGTATGCTCCCTGTATGTTACTGTAAACATGATCCAGAGTGTTCTTGCCCCGGGTGGGAATGTTCACATGTTGGTAATATTACTGGTTAAACACATCACTTTTTGACCAGTTCAATTTCACATCAATATCAAATCCCAGACATACAGTATGTAGAAGGAAATTATTTCAATCTACTGAATACTGGTAAAAAAAAAATGGTAATGGTCTTTCTGTTCTAGCCCTTTCATTTTACTAATTCTGAGGTTCAGGTAGTTATGATCGCAGCAGCTAGCACATTGGCTTACTTCATTTCTGTTCTTCAGTTTCGCATGATTTAGTGTGAATATGCTGTTTACAGAGTAAATGAAATGGATGACAGCTCCCTGGGGTGCTCCTATTTTAGTGAAAATTATGTCAGATGTTGCTATTTAGTCCAACACACTGAGGTGTATATGAAAGATAAGGTCCCTGTTAGTCAAATGCTGATGTCTTCCTGTTGTTACTTTATCTGCTACTCTGTCAATATTAATTGCCACTATAAATATGGCTGAGTCAGTGCTCCAAAGGCAGCAGTGCATGGAACAAGGTGATTGTCCTTTTGTGTCTGGTGAGAAAGGTATCAAAATGTATGAAAGAATACAGGATCGATGGACACAATGCTTAAAATCTCCATTAAAGCCCATGGCATGCGTTTCCTTGTTTTTTGACTGCAGAAAAGGTCATTGGTGCAAGCCTTCCCTCCATGGAGGACCTGTACACCTCACGGGTCAAAAGGAGGGCGGAGAGGATTTCTGTAAACCCCTCACACCCAGGACATAATTTGTTCAAACTAGCTCCTCTCTGGACGGCGCTACAGGTCGCTGTGCACCAAAATGACCAGGCACAAGGACAGCTTGTTCCCCCCGGCTGTCACTCTGAATAACACCTAACCAACGACAGTATGATTGGACAATAACCCTTAATGCAATACCTGTAAATATACATTGTACAGATTATACAAATCCGTACAGGTGTCTATTTGTAAGTACTCTATTTTTATTCCTTTATTCTTATTATCTCATTTCAATGAGCATTCCTTTGTCTGTCTGCATTGTTTGCTGCCTGTTTATACTGCTCATTTTGCCTTGTTTGCACTGGTTGTTGCTTGTTAATGCTGCTTATTATTAAAGCCGATGTAGCAGAGTCAAATTAAGTAACTTAAAAAAAAACACACACATTACTTGTCTGTTAATGCCTTGTTTCTGTAATGTTAGAGGGAATTGTTGTAAGCCTGGCAAAGTGACTGTCTGCATTATGCCAGTTAAAATATGGGGTTTCTCAACTACCCGGTTTGTTTAGTGTAACATCTCTTTTCATTGGTACATATACCGTTGTTTACCTATCTATGGAGGAGAAATTGAATTATTGATTAATGCCATCGCGGTTCATTGTGCTGTCCACTTGTAACACAACACCAGCAACAGGAGTTGTGCGTGTTCACAAACTCCCCTCTTGTTTTTAGGAAGAGGCTTTATCAGAGGTTTTATCATTCTAAAATAATTAGAGTTATGGAGTTATGAGGGTTGCTAAGATAATCTAGAGGTACTCAAAATTAAACATTAAATGGCTGGAAACAAGTAAAATGAGCATGCCATGGGCACTTTAAATTCCTAATTCAAGCAGATTTAGTAGCAAACATACAGTAGGTCAAATCCACATCAGTGTTTAAAAAATGTTATTACAGAAAAAGACCACCATAATTCATAATTTGTGAACCATTAAAGGTAGGGTTGGTGATCCTGAAAAACCAGCAAGAGGAAGCTCGATTTTGAAAGGTGTCAACTAAACAAATCCCACCCTTTCGTTCTGACTTCTCTCCAAAGTCACTCCTCCAAAACACAAGGCTCACTGCAACATGCACTGCCTGAATCCTTGACTCACTGCAGTCTTCTTCCAAATAATAGGTGTTGCTGCAGAGAAACACAATCTACAGCACTGGAATATCAGTAGAAGAAGTAATCTACAAGAAATATGTTCTGTGGCTAACTAGCCCGTTAGCTAGCCCACAGATATCAAACCTACAGAACAGCTGAATTCACGCTTGTGTGGTAGACAACGTGTTTCAGCTTTCTACCTAGCCAGCATACCAAGACAGAGATGTCCATACAGGGCCATATTGAATGTCTGAATAGACAGGTCTGCTCATATCCTCTTGGCCCCAGCTCCTCAAGTTCCTGTTTGGCATGTGCCAAGTTAAAAAAATTGAGAGATGTGCAACCCAGCGAAACGACACCAAAGCATACCACACGCCAACTGTTGTGGCGTCATTTGTGGTCCATGGGCGCAAGTGGTGAGTATAAACCAAGTGTTACATATTTCAGGAAAATTACAAATGCCGCCCAAACAAAATAAAACCAATTATCTGTCCAGCAGAAATAGGTCACCATGGTGTCACTTTTTGGCCCCTTTTGTTCTCTCAGTTATTGCCATCGTTCAAAAGCCACACTGATATGGATTGTAGCTGGTAACTAGTCTTAGAAATCCAAACTTTTCCGGAGGGTAGAAGTGAAGAGGGAAGCCAGCTAACTCCTTTCAAAACACAGGCTTTATTCTTGGTAACATGAACACTGCATGTGGCCTTTGATGCCCAGTTAACTGCATTACAATCCTATCTATACACTTAGAGCTGACTACTGCTGGTATTTTCCCCACACATGGCTCCATGTGGCTACATGTAAAAGGAGTCTGTTCTGTGCGGTGGTCTTCTTGCTCTCACGTTACATGCAGGTAGCAACTTCTGACAACAATAACAACATTACCTATGACGCTATATGTCTTAAGAGGAAGGTCTGGCCTGTAACAAAGGTCTCAGTTTGTGAATGAAAGCTGCAGTGGGTACCTTCTCTGCCATAGCTCGCTAGCTTTAGCCGTAAAACAGAGCAGTAACACATCTGCCTGCAACTGCAATGCCTTGTGGGAAACTCTTGGCTCACTCATTGAGTGCAAGAGCAGAGTACGCGCAAGTAGGCTGACAGGCAGATAGGCCATTCAATCAATGGTTTTGCTTGGAATGAGTAAAATTATTGTTCAAGCGTTTTTCACCCCTGCTGCCACCACAGATGAATTTTTTTCTTTGTTGTCAGTGCATGTAATCTATTCATTGCCATTAGGACAAAAACAGGAATTCAAGATATGTAACAAAAATGCTTCTGGACAAAAAAAAAAAGCCAACCCTACCTTTAACTGGGCTGTAATAGTGGCCAACAATCAATTAAAAAAATTATTTAAGATCTTCATCCATAGATATGATCATCATTTCTTGCATAATTTTGACACTCAGCTCTCGTCTTTGCTTTGTGAGGAGCAAGAAAATGTCAGAGATCCAATTCTGAAGAGCTTCCAGCTTTTGATATTGTTTTGCAATATCAAAACAAAATCATCAAGAGGAGGTGATGCTCCTTTTACAGAAGTCAGGTGCATGATTCAACACCTAATGAGGAGAATTTTTACCTTGACACAGCATGAATAAAGTCTCATAAAGCTGAGCTGGAACGTGCCTTCACAGAAGTGTGTGGAGTGTCACTATTTGGGTGGTTGTTGTGAAATGCGTTTGTGTTACCTTGTGCAGCTCATCATAAACCAGCTGGTGTGCGAAGCGTGGACATGGCTCCTCCTCCTGCAGGGCCTTTCTTGGGTTTTCTTTTACTGCCTGGTCATTCTTATACACACACGACCTGAGCAGGAAT